AATTATTATTGGATGAGATTTCCAATATGTAATTCAAAAATTTATTCAACTTAAAAAAATAAAATATTGCATATATTTAGGCGAACCCAAACAAAAATTTTTTTTTATTCATAAAAGGTTTTGGACTTTACTATAGATAATATAATTTTGTGTTTGACACCTACAATACAGAAACATATTATGGTATTTTTACAGAACAAATTCCAATTTGCAAAATATTCAGTATTTGAAGAAATTTCTAATTTAATTTTCGATTTCCAAATATTTTGTTAGCCAAATATCAGGTATAAATATTTTTAGAAATTTTTACTAATTCTTATTAACTTTTCCAGTTTCTTAGAAAAGTAAATGTGTATGTACTTTTCAAATGCTGTTTTACTTTTCAAAAAAAAAATTCAAAGCAAAGATAAATCAAAGAAAAAGCAAAGACTTGTTCTGCGAGACGCGTCATATTTTTGGTATTCTACTAGACGCAAAATGTAATGTACCAGAAGAAGAATGTACTCGAAATTTTAAAAAGTCAAATCGAGAAGCGACAAAATAAATTTTAAAGACTCGAATGTTAAGAAAATAAAAAATTGTTTTTAAATAAACTGGTGACAGAAAAAAATTAAATAATAAATATTTAAGTAAGTTAGAGAAAGATGTTTTCGAACTTTCTTTGGTTTTTGGGTAAAAGTAGAGAAGTAGTGATGAAGAAAATCAAGATTGTTTACTTTTGAACTGGAATTAATAAAATTACTCAATGTTGCTATTTAAATATCTAATTACATAATTACATTTTTTCCATTTTCTTTAAATTTTATTTTTCAGCAATTTTTATATCTCTGGTCGACAATAAAATATACGCTACTAAATGTTACAAAAAAATGTGGTCATTTTCAAAAAATGCATCTAGTAAGAATAACATTTATGAACGATTTTTGTGACAAAAATTGAGATGCGCCTTTAGGAGATCAAATCTGTCACCTCACATATTCTTATATGCGCGCACGTCGTCAAGTAAAATAAGACTTTTGTATAATAAAAAATTTTTTGCAAAATATTGGAATCAAATTTTCTTGGAAATTAAAATGAAATTATTAAATTTTTTCATTTGAAAAGCAAATTTTTCAGTATAATTTTTAAATTGCAAATATTGTTCTTCCAAAAAAAAAAAAAAAACCACAGAAATTAATTATTTTAAGGAAGGTTTCTGTACGAGTAGTAGTTGAAAAGATTTTATAAAAATAAAAGTAAAAAAGAAAATTAAAGTTAAAAATAAAAAATAAAATAAAAATTTTTTTCTATTTTCATCGTTAAAATTTTATTTGTTATACAAAAGAAAAAAAAAAAAAAATAATAAAAAGAAAATTAATGTTTTTTTTTTTCATCTACACAAAGACCATTTTCAAAAAAAAATTTTGTTTTTTTTTTTTTTTTTTTCTCTTTTTCTTTATATTTAAAATCAAGTGTACACAATTATTTTTTTTTCTTTTATTTGCAAAAAAAAAAAAAAAAAATATTTATTTATTCGGTTTTTTTTACATACAAAAAAAAAAAATAAAAAAAAAAAATTAATTTTTCGTAGGTGTATGTGTGTGTGTGGTTTAATACAATTTTTTTTTTTTTTTTTTATAAAATTATTTTTAAATAATTTTTTTTTTTTTCAATTTATTCAATTTAATTTATTTTTTTTTTTTGGTTTTTTTTTTGATAATTTGTTTTTTAATTTTAAAAATAGAAAAAAAAAAAACTTTCTAGGAATAATATAAATAACAAAAACGTACAATAAAAAATCAACAATACAAAAATATTAATAAAAAACAGTACTAAAAAGTCATTTATATATATACATATATATATACATATATATTATGTGTATATATATATATGTTTGTAATATAACTACTAGGTATTTATTATTAATTATTTAAAAAAAAAAAAAATCAATTTCTATATCCCCCCCATTTACAAAGTTTTTTGTTTTTTTTTTTTTTCATTTCATTTAGATTTAAAGTTAAAAAAAAAAAAAAAAAATTTTTTTTTTTTTTTAATAATAATTATGAAGTGTATTTAAAATTTTTTTTTTTAATTTTTTTTTTTTTGGTTTTTATTATATATTAAAAAAATAACTTAGAAAAATAAGAAACAAGTAAAATAAAGTAAAAAAAAAAATATTACATGCTTCATGTGTTCTAGAAATGGTTACCATAAAAAATATCATATGATTTTTGTTTTTTTTTTTTTGTGTTTTTCGATAAATCGCCTAATATAATAAAAATTTTTCTTTATTTAATTATAATTTAATTATGAGAAATTTGACGATATTTATTTATTTATCATATTTTATTATTATTAATTAACAATATTTTAAGTATAACAGTTTATACTATTTATAAAATATTGTTTTTTTAACATAATATAGAAAATGTTCTAATAATTTTTTTTTTTTGTTTGTTTTTTAATTTTAAATTTGTTTTAAATGGACAAAAATAATGAAATATCATTATTATTAATTATTATATTTTTTTTTTGTTTTTGTTTATTATTATCATTATCATATGATATTTTGAATATATTGTATATATTGTGTAGCTATGATAACCAACTTTCAATTTTTTTTTTTTTTAATTATCTTTGATTATCTATATTTTTAGTATTTATTTTAATTTTTTGTTTTTAATATGTAAATTGCACATTATTTTCAATATATTTTTAATATTTATTTCATTTATTGAAATGAATTTCTTTTTTTTTTTTTTTGATTGAATTAATATTATAGTTTGTTTTTCAAATTTTTACTAAAATTCTTATAATATTATGATTGATTGACTTCTAATGTTTCGATTTTATAATTATGTATATTTATATAGTTAAATTTTATGTTTGTATATTTAATACATAATAATTATTTATTTTTATATACATAAGTACATATGAGTTTTTAAATTATTTTCATTCAATATTTTTTATTATTATACAACATTGTTGTTGTTACAATTGTTGAGGAGTTGATTACATAATTACAATTGTAATTAGAATTTTGATTTTGTGGTGAGAAGTAATTATAAGGCGTAAGCAAGTATAATAAAAAAAAAACTGATAGAATATTTGAAAATTAAAATATTTGAACAGAAATTTTTTCATTTGTTATATGAAATATTATGTAAGTGATAAAATTATTTTGATTTATGTTGAATTAAATATTAAAATTTAATTGAAATTAGAAAAATTTTTCATAAAATTTGTATAATATTGTTATATTGTATTATATTTTAAAATTTGCATGTAATTCATTGGAATATATATCAAATTCAATTTCGGACTATTGTATTGCTAGTCTTATAAATAATTTAATAATAAAAATTTTTGTTTTTCAAGAAATATTTTCAAATATCTTTCATTTAAATTTAAATTCGAATTTATTAATCAATACTGAAAAAAATATATATATATACATTAAGAAAAAGTTTCTTTCATTTTAATAAAATCATGATTTGAGTGTAAAAATATTAAGTAAATGAAATTAATTAATCATAAGACAATTCAAATAATATAATTAAGGAAATTACAAAACAAAAATTATTTGAAATTATTCTAAAATTATTTATTTTAATTGAATTTTTTAATATTAATTTCATTAATAATTTTCAAAGGAAGCTATGCCTAAACAATGAACTCATATTGTTCATGTTTCAATTGTTAGGGCTTAAAATTGTATATATAAATTGAAATTAATATTGCAATATAATAAAAAGTAAATTAATAATTAAATTATTAATATTAATTTTTGTTTCTTGAATTTTGATTATTGTTATATAATATAATAGTTTTTGACTATTAATAATAATTTTTGTTTATTGAAATAACTTTTGAATATAGTTTTTAATTTTAATTACGAAAGTACACGATTGATATCTCGAATTATTTAAGGCAGTGCCAATATGTTTTTGTTTTTTTTTTTTTGTTTTTAAATCAAATTCAACTTCACCATATTATTATGGATTGCTTAATAAGAATTATAAAGACGGTATTACTATATTCACTACTCAAGTGTTATACAATTGAATTTAATTAATACAATGATTGACTAAATTTAATCTACTACATTAGAAGTCATTCAATTTGTTTTTTTTTTTTTGCAATTGTTGCAATTTTTGCATTTAATTTTCTTTATCATTTTTGGTTTTCTTTTTGAATTCTTAACTATAAAGACGCTCCACATCTCTATTTATTCTCTTTTCACAGCTTTTATAATATTATAAATTATTTGACTAAGACTTTTTCCATTTATTTTTTTTTTACAAGTTTACATTATTTCCATTTCTTATGTTTTTTTTTTTTTGCAATATTTTATTTAATACAATATTTTAACTAAAAATATAATTTATTTAATTTTTTATCTTTAATTTATTTCATCATTTTAAATGTCTTCTCATATTTTTTTTCTCGATATTTTAATCATCATTTTATCTTTTGCATATCTAATTTTTTTTTTAATTAATTTAAAATTTAATTCAGTTTTTCATGAGGTTCTTGTCTTCTTATACAATTTTTGTTTTTTTTTTTTTTAATAATTTTAAATTATTTTTTTTTGCTTTTTATTTATTTTATGAATAAAAATATTTGGTATTTTTGTAATTTTTTTTTTTAATATTAATTAATTAAATTTTTTTTATAATTTTTTGTAATTATTATTTTTAAATAAAAAAATTTGAATTATAGTAAATATTTAGTAATAAAAAAATAGTTGAATTAGAAAAAGAAAACTAAAAAATATTAAAATTAACAACATTGTTTTTGTTTTTTTCTAACAGATCATGGGTTTTCGATTTTTTTTTTAATATTCTTTAATTAAATTATTTTTAATTTAATTTAATTATTTTTTATATTTCATCTACAATTTATTTTATTTATTTTTTTTTGGTTCAATTTCAATATTTTGTTACAATTTATTATAGAAAAACAAAAAAAAATTAATTTGAAAAAAAAAAAGAAAAACGAAGAAAAATCTATGATTCTTTTTTGTTTTGGTTTTTTTTTTATTTTTCTATTTTGCTTTTTCTTTTTAATTTAATTATTATCATTCGGAGCGGTGACGATGATGGTGGGGGTGGTAATTATATATATATATATATATATATATCATTATTATTTTAATGTTGTTCATTAATTTTAATTTTTTTTTTATTTCATAGCATTTTCTTTTTTATTTGTTATTATGGTTTGGTTTTTCTTTTCATTTAAATTTTTCATTAAAGCAGCAGCTTTTCTGCAATATTTTCTGATTTCGTTTTTTAATTTTTATTTATTTTGAACGAAATTATATTCTACGTTAACACCAACGAAATGGTACAGCTCTTGGTCTATCGGCACCCTCCTTGACTAGAGGTTTATGATATTCACGGCCTGGACGTGAATGAATGGCTGCCCAGCAATGCTCGCAGTAATACTAAAATATAATATAAATTTTAAAGTTATTAATTAAATTTTTAAAATAATTAAAAAAAAAAAAATATTTTTGTATTTAAATTATAAAAATGTAGTGAAAATTTTTAAGAAAAATGAAGCAAAAAAATTGAATTATAACAGACGATTTCCTCTCATAATCAAGTTACAATCGGTTTCATTTGGAACTTATTTTCATAGTGTAAGCAGCTTGAATTTATTAATTAAAAATTTATTTTTATAATATCTTACCATTTTATCACAGAGAATCAATATCTAATATTTTTTATATGTTTATATATATATATTTTTTGCAATTAACAAACCTGAAGGCAAGTGACATTTGCACAAAAGAATGGAGCAAATTTTCCGCCACATCTTTGACCTTGACATTCATCACACATTTGATCATCAAGAACATATGGTTTAACTTCAACACGTTTATCAATATCACCATGTTGTAATTGAACAAAACGTGCTGATATTGCTGCAATATAACTTTGTTGATTTGCAAAAGCAACACGACCAGCACCCTACAAATAAATTACAAATGTAAAAAAAAAAAACATGTTGAAAATCATTCTCATTTTTTAAATATGAATTTCTTTTTTACCTTAGGATATTTTAATTCTGGATCAGTATCAATACCAGCATAACAGACACCACCATATAAACGATCCATTATCATAGCCAACTCAACTAAAATTGTTTTTTAATAAAAATTTATATGAGTGTTTAAAAACTTTAAGGAGAATGTTATAAAATTTTTTTATTTAAAAGCACACATACCAGCTTTAAGTGGCCTGGGAACTCCACCAACAAATACAGTTTTTCTTGGATCTAATGGCATAGAAGCATCCAATACAAAATCAGCATCAGCTAAACGCCATGGTCTGATTTGAACTGGTTTATCTTTAATTGTTGGTGATGAGACACATAAATATAATTTTTCTTCATCAGTTATACAAGCTTCAATTAATTGTTGAACGCTACTTTCATCCTAAAAAAATTAATTTGAAAAAAATTGATTATAAAGATTAAAGCAACTATTTTGCCGTTTAAATTATTAGATTGAGAATTAGAGCCTTTTTAACTTTAACTTTCAGAATTTATTAAATAAGCAATAATTGTTTAACATGTCTTTAATTTTAGTTGAAGTTCCAACTGAGACTTTGGAAGTACTGTAAAATTTTCCGCTTAATTAATGAATAGTAAAATTAAAACAAAAATTTTTAGATTAGTGTGCTCAATTATGATATACACTTGACGTATAATTACTTAAAATCATGCATTATTAAACACTTGCGTATCGAAATCTTAGAGAGCCTGATCATCTATCTCGTTATTATACTCAGCAAGTGGGAAGAAAGTGAATAACTATTATATATTTGTATAATGTAATTTTTAAGTAAGAAGAAATGTTCGTAATTGCGTATCTCGTTTTTTTCTGAAATCTATACAAAATTTATTCACTTTGTGTTTACAATTTCAGATGAAGTCGATACTTTCAGATGAAATGAGTAATGTTATTGAAAAAATTAAATATTCCTTAGAAAAATGGAAAATTCCTGATGTGATAGTAAACAAAAAGTGAGATGAAAAGAGCGAGGTACGCGAAGGACTATACTATAATAATTATTTTTATTACAAGGTAATAAAAATAATTATTTAAAAATAAATATTGTGTTTAACATGGTTTTCTTTTTTTCTCTCTCTCTCTATAAAATTATTCCATATTGAATTTATATCTTCCAATTAATTAAATTTTGTTAATCGTTTAAATAGCTTGTATAAATGATTAAAAATTACCTGAAATAAGAGAAAAGCATATCCTTTTGGTGGAAAATATGATTTTGATTCAGCTTTATGTGGCCAGTCAACAACTAATGGACCGAAACGACGGAAGGATGTTGTTATTTCATCTGGAAATCAAAATGAAATCAAAATTATTTAAAATATATACATAGATATAAAAAAATTTATTTGCATAATATTTTTTAATAGAAATCAATAAAAAAATACAATAATACATGTATTTTTTTATTAATTTTAAATAAAAGAGAGAAAAATTATGTATATTTTAGCATATAAATGTTAATATGGTTATAAAATATAAAAAATCTGATGTGGTCAGCACATAACCGACCTCAATGTGTATTATCTAGTTAAGTGAAAATGTTTACAGAATATTATAAAAATGTCTGTTAAATACTTCTTTTCAATTTTTAAGGGCATTAGTAAGCTTATAGTTAACATACCTAAAAAAATGTAAAGTTACCTCTTAGTAGAGTTTCGCTTTGTGCTATTCGAATTGACTGAAATGCTCGTCAGTTAGTTTCGGTAACAAACAGAACTCAAATATCAAATTTCAAGAAATTCCATCAATTCGTTCCGTAGATATAATTAAAAAATGTAAAATCGGCCCCATAAATCCAGGGCCCTGATTTTTTCAAAAAATTTATATGTTCATTGCTTTAATATGAAGAATTTAAATATTAAATTTTAATTAAATCGGTTGATTATTTCTCTTTATATACGCAAAAATGTATATTTGGCACGTAGTAAACGTCCAGTTGCTAACGCCTGATTTCTTCCAAAAGTTAGGAGATTTCGCGGACAGACGAGCGAATCTTATATACGAAATTTTAAGAAATTCTGCTGAAATTATTTTAATATTGATCAAAAATGTAAAACAGGCCCGCTAAAAAGAGCAATTCCCGAGGCCTGATACACAACCTACATAATTGTGTACACAATGCGGTCGGTAATAAATTTATTGCAATATAATAAAAATCGAATAATTTTTAATAAAATCAAAAAGTTAAATTGACCTTATTTTATTTTTTTTTAAGGATTATCATTAATTTATCATCTGTATTATATTTAATAAATTAAAAATGTTATTAAAAAATTTAAGTGAAAATAATTTCTGAATATTTTTGATTCACAGGAGTATTCAAGAATAATTTATTTTAGTATTGAAATATTTAAAATCATTTTATTTTTTAATAAAATGATTTTAAATTTCAATACTAATAATTAATCTTTTTAGATTAATAAAATAAAACTTCTAAAACATGCTTAATATTATAAAATATTTGAAATTTGTTCTAACTACATATCTAGTCCATTATTGCTCAAATTTAAATTTAATTGTCCTCATATTTCTCTAAAAATCAATATTATTAAATAAAGTCGTGAGCGCTAAAGTACGATACAATTAAGTTCTACTACTTAAACAAGAGAGTAATTTTTCCAATGAGAGAGAGAGAGACAGTAATAGCATATACATGAGTAAACCTACCCAGATATTTTTGTAATCTAACTCTCAGTTAATCGAAAATTACGTTTAATTACAGTCATACCGTAAACCAAATATTACGTTAGATGAAATACTCTCCAAGTTGTTGTTTTCTATTTGATATCCGAATTGGTCTGATAGCAGACTTATCCTGTCAGAGATTTTAAAAGTTACATGGCGACAATTAATTTTCTGTTGGAGTTTTGACCAATAATCCGCTGATTTTTATTTTTGTTAGAATTTTGATATGAATGCAAAAAAAATATTAAATTTTTACGTATCAAGCACATTTTGTTTGATTGTAAATATAGTTTTAAATAGTACTTAACACGAACAATATCGTTTTTATGTCAGTTGGGAAATTCAAATTCTCTTTGAATCGAGATTTTTTTCAAAACTAAACAATTTTAGTTAAAAACAATCTCTTTAACACGAAATTTTTGATTTGCAGGATACGAGTCTATGAAAAACCAATTTATGTGTACAATTAAATGAGTTTAGAAAATTATTAATTGGTATTTCACTTTCCATACTGCTAAACCCGAATTTTTTCTAATACTAAGAAATTTTGTTGTAATATTTGCCTCTCAAAATAAGCTAAACTATTTAAAATTCTATTAGTTCTTGTTGTGCTTGGAACATTTGGTGCATGTTATACTATATGTATCTGTTTCTATATTAATACAACTACGATACAAAACAAAAACTCATCAAAAAGAAATTGTATTTGTCAAAATGTTAGTTTTTTTTAATGTTTGTTGGACGTCTAATAAAGCTTACTATTGTATTTGAAATTTAAAATTAAATTTAAATGTTTGCAAACATATAAAGTAGCGGCGGCAATTACAATACAAAACGTAAAATATTTGCAGCTACAATACGCATTAAAAATCAGATTTTGGGAAACAAGCCTCATGGAAATCAATTTAAATATAGAAAACAGCCAATTACAATCTAATTTATAAATGATGTTTTGCAAAGCCTAAAATTTAACAGCTATGCTTTTAATATCAAAATAAGAAAAATCGAATAACGTAAATTTTCAATTTTCTTTTACATATTTGCATTTAAATGCCAATTATTGTAGAAAACAAAATTTATTTTTTTGATATTCAAAAAAAAAACAAATACCTAAATAAACATAGGGTACAGAAATTTAGTTTTGAAACATGAGTTCCTAAAATTTATTAGAATAAATAACAAAATTTCTTTTGTTTATTTCTAATTAATTTAAATAAGGCAAACTATTTCTATAATTTGAAACTATGTTTGATAAATTAGTGACTGCCTTAAAAGATTTTTTAAGTAAATATTGCTAACAAGTATTTAACATGTATGTACATATATGTGTGTATGTAAATATGTATTAATAAATACGTAATATATTCAAAATATTGTGTTACCATGAATTATTTTAAAAAAACCTAAAATTTTCAATCATTTAAATAAATTTTCTTTTTTTAATATGCCATTTAAATCCACGTATATGTATATGTACATAATGTATATAAGCGTGGGCAAGAATAAATTTCAATATGTCTCTATAGTATATTAAACCTACATCATACACTGAAAGAAATGGTCACTATTTTGGTAGTTAAAAAACATAACTACAACTTCATATCTGATGTTGCTATAAGAAAAATTACGAAAATTAGAAATATTTCTGCCGCCATGTTAAATACATATTTATTTTGCAATGATATACATAGTTGACTTGTGACATATAAAACATAGAGCTAGATTTTATGACTACATATTCAATTCTTGTTCTTTGAGCTTCTTGTAGTTTTTAAGGCAATCAAAAAATTTCTAAAATTACATTAAATACTATGAGTGTTTCTGCAAAAGAACATAATTCACTCAGAGTTACAAATCTCACTGTAATATTTCTTATTTGTGCAGTAATAAAATATTGCTGTAATAAACTAAAATATGTGCTGAAAATTTGGTCAATTTATATAGCTATCTATTTCTATTATATAAAATCTGGAAAGAGAATTCTTAAGTCAAGCTATACACAGTCTTGACTGAAATAAATAATTGGGAAAACATTAAAATTTTATGCTGAATTTGTAAATAATATATGGCTTGTATTTTTTAGGAGAATAAGAAACCAAATAGCATAGCACTTAACGTGTGAAGAGCGCAGTGCAATAAAACATGGCAGAAAATATTATTTTTTCGTACTATCCCGATTTCTAGCAGTTTTTATCACTAGGAGCATGCAAAACTATGGCAGATTTAGTTATTTTTTTTTCTGAGTATATGTATACATAAGTACATATATATATATATATATATATATATATATATACACAATAAAATATTAATATCTAATGTATTATGAATAAAGGTTTATGAAAAAAAATTTTTTTTTTTGCACACAAATATATTTATAATAAATTAAAAGTGGAAATAGAATATTATATATGTACATATATATATGTATAAGCATAAAAATCAACATATTATTATAAACGATGCATAATCATACCTTCATCAATGTCAGGTGGTAATCCTCCAACAAAAACTTTTCTTGAATATCTTTCAGTTACTTCAGATCCTTGAGAATGGGGTGATGAACGAGATGGTGAATTCAAAGTTAAATTATTGCCATCAACAAAGGCGCCTGTTTCTTCAGTAATGTGATCATCAAAATAGGGTTTACCTGGAACACAAAAAAATATATATATATATAAGTAAATAATTGAAAAGGATGAAATTTTTTTTTTAATATTTTTGTGGTCATTCAATTTAAATTTTGTTTTTTTTTTTGCATTTATTTTCTCTCGGCTTTTCTTTAAAAAGAAAAATTTGGTTAAAAGATAATGGATAAGATTTTTATTTTTAATCTGACCAAAATATAACAAGATTATTTCTCTACAATTCTGAGCGGAGAGGGACCAAAAATTTTTTTTTGTTAAAAATTTAATATAAATTTTGTAAACTTACGTAATCCTCTAATTCTCAATTCTTTTAAATAATTGAATAAACGATCATTTAAGAAATCCATTCTTATATTCTTCGTGGCTTTTTTTCCAGTCAAATTGTTGAAATGAAATAGATTTTCTCAAGTTTTTAATTATATTATAAGTAATTAAGAAAATTCTAAGAACTATTTCACTTTTGAACTTTTTCTAATATTATAAAAAAATTATTTTTAAAAATTTGAAAATGAAAAAATAACATCTACGTATATGTATGTTGATATTAGAAAAATTTAAAAATGAAAAACTTACAAAAATTTATAAGATGACAGTAAATTGACAAATGAATCGTTGCTGGAATTTTTTTATTTGATTACTAAATTTGAATTTTTTAAATTGCTTATAGTTGCTATGGTGAATTTTAAATTTTTTTCTTATATATTTCATACATATTTTGCACATATTTTGTAAATAACGTTAATTTTCAACTATTGTGAATTACTAATGTCAAAATGTATTTTTTTATGAAATATGTATGTAAACAAAATTTTGGTAATTTTTGCTTTCAATCATTTTCAATCATTCAATTATTTCAATTCAATAATCTGTATGTGGTGAGATAGACGACTTTTGCTTTGTTAAGTTAACAGTACTCAAACACTCAAAATGCTCTTCCATATTGTTTCAATCGTTCTCTTTAAATGTTTGCTGCGAGTTCATTATATCTGACACAAAAGTTTATACGTTAAACAACTGAATAATAAATAATTAAAATATATCAGGTTTTTATTAAAACTTGTTAAAAATAGCAAGCTTAAAAACTCCATCAAAATGTTTCTAAATTTTTCTGTTCAAAAATTATCAGAATTTTTTGTCTAAGAAATTCATCAGAAAAATATTGTTAAGAAATGTGAAATGCACTATGGAACAACTTGAAAACGAAATACTACTCCGAAAAATTTTTTTTTGTTTCATTTTGTATTATTCAGAGAACATATTTTTAATCGGAAAAAATTACGGAAGATTGTAAAGTAAAAGTGCTTGAAAGTAAAGTAGCAAATGTTTTATCAAATGCTGTTCAGAGATAAGGAAACCAATTACGTAGTATTTAAAAATGGTGCTTACCCATTAATATTGTTTACAATGTAATATACAGAATGTTTTTCAAATTACTTTTTGTTATACAGAAATATAACAAATACACTACGTATACTATTAGACGCCTAGATAAGCATTCCTTTTTTACCGACCGTATTTAGTTTTGTAGCGGCTTCATTAATCATTTGTACATATGCAACTGTACGGTCGCATGCAATTAAACAATCACACAACTTATAGTTTTTCACAAACTGATTGCAATTTTTATTTAACGCATTCGATTTGAATTGATGTAATCGTTTAGTTGATTAGATGTGCCCGCAACGATTTTATAAGCTGTAACTGCGTGTCTGTCTGAACCCTAACAAATAACGATTTTTGAACTTTACATATTATAATAATTATTAGAAAATACCTACATGTGTATATAAATATCTATGTATAAGTGTTATAAGCCAAATACTCAAAATTTTAAAAACATTGCTTTCAAAATTTAAATGCTAAAAGTTATAACAATTTTTAGAGATAGACAATATTCCCACAAATCCATTGTGTTGGTCCTTCTCATACCTACTACTTATAAATAAATTTTATTTATATGTACAAATAATACAAATCACAAAGGTCAAATAAAATTTAATACAACCCCTTTCTCTTAAAAAAAAAAAGAAAAAAATTCACATATGAACAGTTAGTTGCTAGACTAATTGAGATTTAATTTTCATAATTCCGTTGTTATTATTTTCATTTTCATTACAGTTATTTTCATATTATTTATTATTATTGTTGGTATAGTAGAAATCTTAATATAATTTTAGCGGGGAAATAGTTAGAACACTTTATAAAAATTGTACAAATCAAATAATATACAAAATTTCTGCAATAAATAAAATATTTTGCGGCTCTTTCAACCTTAGATGCTAAGATTTATTATTAGGGCATATTTTTTATTTATGTATGTATGTGTAAGAAATGAAGAATCAATAAGAGTTATAAGCCAAACACTCAAAACAATATAACACAACTAAATTTTTCCAAAAATTTTACTTTAGGAAAACTATAACTGCAGCACTTTGTAATTATGTTCCAAGCATTTAATCATCAAAATTACTTGAGATATTTTAAATTTTAGAATATGCGTTATAGGCCATAATACACCACAGTTTTCTGATTTTATAATATTTTCTGCGCAGTTGATCTAGCGGAATCTATTCCCTAAGAAAATTAATTCTGTCTATAGTTTAAGACCAATTTTTGTACGACAGAATTAATATTTCTTTTTGAATTCCTTTTCATACGTGTATTTGATCTCAAACAAATACACAAACAAATCATTCCATTTTCATGTTAAATTTTTTACTCAACTCAATTTCTTGTTGCTTTAATATGCATTAAAATGCTTTAATTTCAATACACACCTTATATGTTTTCATACAAAAATTTTATTGATTTATTTAATTTTGTTGTTTATCCAAAATGGAGTCAATTTCAGAACTCCTTTTTATTAATTTAACATCAATCATATTTTATTATCATTTAAGAACAAAATTCAGTTCGTCAATTATTATGGCTCATCAACATCAGTTCTTCTTAAATAAATTGAAAATTTTTAATGATTTACTTAAATCTCCCGTAATAATTTATTGTTGATTTTGGTAGTAATTCATTATTGAGATTACAAATTACAAGGTACAAAGAACACACAATCGATTTTCTATCTAAAATTATGAATAAATTTCAATTCTTTACTTATATACACAATTAATACATAAAAATAAACGATTTATAACTTATACCAAAAAATATTTTTCAAAGAAAGATGGAAAGGGATACAAAATAAAAAATAACAGGAAAATAAAGTAAAAATCGACACAAAAAAATATAGTTATAAAAAATTATAAAAAAAGGTAAAATTTTAGTTTACTAAAAATAACCATAAAACTTTAAATACAACAAAAGAAGAGAACAACCAACAAGAAAAAGAGGAAAACAAATTAGAAAAACATGATAATCATTGGAAAATTCTCATTTTTCAAACTATAAACCATAGAAATAAGCCATAAACCAAAAAAAAATAAAAGTAAAAATCCGATCTCCCCCGACTTACGAAAAAAAAAAAAAATGAAAAAGTTATTAATTTCAGTTTTTCATGTTTTTGAAAAGCACACAACAAAAAACAAAAAATAAACATAGAAAATAATGTAATAATCACCTTTTTTCGGTTAACCAAAATATGAAATCCAAGCAAAGAAGCAAAGAATAATACAAACGATAAACGTATCTTCCTGCAGTTATCCATAAAGCAGGTGAGAAATTAAAGTGGGAGTAAGAAAAACAGAAACTCGATTTTTTTTTTTCTCTCTTTTTTCCGAAAGAAAGAAATCATTTCCTTTTTTTTTTTGCTCTAACTTTTCCCACACACTGTAATTTATGAAGTATTCAAGGTATACAAAACGAAGAAAAGAAGAAAATTTATCGGATATTTTAGTGTTTTTTTTTTGGTTCTGTTTTTGTATTTCTTAACTATAAACCTTTAGTAAGCATAATTCAAAAAACAACCAAAGAAATTTTGGTAGTTCTTCCTTTTCATTTTTGCATACCTCAGTACTTATTATGTACACGTATATAATAATATAACAGTTATGAATTGTATACAGTTATGATTTCCTTAATATACACACACATATTCTTCTTTCACATAATTGAAGGCGCAATTTTCCTTTCGTGTTTAAGGTAAAATGGGTTGTAGATTTTTTGGAACAATTGTTGAATAAAACTTATTGATGAAAATTATGTGCAAATTTCCTTGTGAACAAAAATTTATTAACATAAGAAAGCTCACTGGAACTGGTAATTCCCATACATAGTACTGAAATATTTAAAAAATATTTAGTACTGAAAATAATTTTTCGAACAAGGGCTCTCTAATATCCCAGGTCCTGAGAATTGCTTTTAAAAAAATTAGAATAATATAATCCTTATGCTATATATCGTTGCGAAAATCTTGAAAATCTCTACAAAAAAAAATCTTGAAAAACTCTACACATTTTGTTTGACAACTTTTTTAAAAAATTAACATATGAGGTTCTAGGTCGCCAAATTTTGCCAAAATAATGGACTGGTATACAGGGTCGGTTAAACTCTGCTTAGTCAAATCTCTACCAACTTGACATCAAGAATGGTTTAACATAAAAGAAGTCCTACTTTGTATATGCTTTCTTCAAGATTGTCTAGAACAGCCTTTTATATATTACAATATTCGTGTTGGGTATATTCCTGTGCTAAAATAACTTCATAAACCCCCGTTTTATCCTAATTAAACATACACATTCGCACACTTAAACACGCATATATATTTTATTTGTATTTATTTATTTTAATATTTTTCTTTAACTTTTCTTGTTTTTTTTTTTTTAATGAGTTGGTAAATTTATTCCTTGACTTCTCTTTTCTTTACATTTACTTTTAAATTTCATTTCCTCATCACCACCATATTTTTATTTATACTTGGTTTTTGTGTTTATAGTTCTTTTTTCTCTTTTTTGGTTAATATTTTGAATGTCTTATGCAATAATTGGGCTTAAATTGAATAAAAAATGAAAATTAAGAGAAAAAAAAGAAATTAATGTTGAAAATTTAAAGG